CTGTAGTACTAAAGTAGTAGTTTTTTTTTTTTTTTTTATCTTTTCCCAACTCAAAAAATTACCTCTTTAATATATACATTTTTTTTGTATGGCCTCTCAAATCAATTAATAACACCTGTAAATGCTTATAATGCTGGACCCACACCGGGGTTTTTCCTCTGGACCACCCGGGCGCCCTTGGCGGCCCCCTGGCCCCAGTCAATGGTGCTCGCAAGTGCCTTTCAGTATCAAAAAGAACCCCCCTACCAAATCCCTGGCTAAGGGCTTGCAGTTTAGAAAAGTTTCTTTTGGCATTTGTTTAAATTATAGTTAAAAATAACGATTCTTGCAATACTTTTCAATAATAAATTATCATTAGTCCTTCACTCACTCAAATTTCCACCGCCTATGCAAGGGCGTCGATCAGATGGGAAGTGGTTGGGGGTGGGGGTGAAGAATTGCAAAATAAGGAAGTCTTAATTGGCCGAGGCCCAAGCTTTGGCTGGATAGAGCACTGAATTCGAAAAAAAGGGGTTCTGACTTTTACAGATGGAGTGTAGACCACCTCAGCCACACCACGATTCACTTCTAGAAGGCCTGAAATGGCACTCTTGCTCTCAGACTTAAATTTGAATATAATTTTCTTTTTTCTCCATTTTCAATTTTGAAAATAAAAATTAGGGAGGATAGCCGACAGGGAGCTCTTGCCACTGAAATCACTCAACATAAAGTTTTTCAAATTTTCCTGGTAATCATCATCATGCCCGCTTATTATATTTCGTGCAAACTGTCATAAAAATAATGATTTATTATCTACTGATTAGCTTGTGACGTATTCGAACCATGAAAAACAAATAAGATAAACCATGTTTATCATGATGAACTTAAAGTCACTCTAATTTTATAGTTTCTTTGCATGTGCAAAGAAACTAAAATTAGAGTGACTGTTTTATAATTTTATAGTTTCTTTGCATGTGCGGTCGTCTGTACTTGAAAAATCAAGAGTTTTTCCTTTTCTCTTTTTGTGCAAATGTAGTATTGCGACTACTACTGAGTGGAAACACTACCGTCACTTTACGATCAATTAGGACTAGGGAGATAGGGAGTATACAAAACATTAGTTTGCATTTTTATTTCACAAACATGAAGGTGATTTACTTAATTTATCATTATCATGACGTCGTGGCGAGATAGCATCATCGTAACATCTGAGTCCGTAAACTTGTGGTAGGCCTATCACTACTTAAATAAGTCGAAATAGACTATTCATGTCAAAGGGTATAATTATTGTTTAATAACGGCTATATAAAATTCCAATGTCTAATATAATTTTTTGAAATTAGAAAAAACACGAATTTATGTATGCAGATAATATATTTAACACTAGTATATACGGGTCTTAATATATACAAAAGGAATAAATCGTTTATAGTAGAAATTGTTCACTTTTGTAGAAATATTGGCCTAATAGGTTTACACGCTTCCAATTGTAACAAGGAGACCTACATCATTGTTTTCATAATAAATTTAGCCTCTGATAACCGTTGCACCCATAACATCGATGGAGTGGTTACTGCTGAGATGGTTACGAAATGCACAAACAATTGCTTTTTTACTCGGTTTTGGTCTGGAAATACACACCACAATTGGAACAGAGGACCAGTCAACAACAGACAAAATTCATAACAGTCATTCGTAATTGTTGTTGTACTATCCACTCCCTTTGAAAAGTGGGGTTTTAACTATAGAAGATTGGTGAAAAGTGACTGGGTGGGGGACAATTGATGATGTCCCCCCGGAACTTTGAAAAGTGAGGGGGGGGGGGTGTCATTGATCGACGCCCATGCCTTTATGTCATCATCAATCACCATCGCCATATATCTCCTGGGGATGGTATATAATAGGCCTGCATCCTGCATTCTCCTATGGCAAGCTAATATACCGACCCTCAATTTCGAACATTCGGAGGGCATGACCAATACAATAGTTTTTTGGGTTTTTTTGGCCTTACAGTGTGGAATTTATTGCAAATGTAAGCAAAAATGTGAAATTTGGCGTAATTTAGCATAATTTGCCATCAGTCCTTAGCATAATTTGATTGGTCACATTGTGCTCCAGTACACAGGAAATCAAATTGTATAGCTGATCTGCATTACAGCCCCGCTTTTTTCTCCAGGACCCAAGTTTTGATTTCCCCACACTAGCCACGATTCGTCTAATAATTTGATAGTAAATATACCACCAAATGTTTAAAGATGAACACTCTACATGGATATAACATTGAATTTTGCTTACTTTTTATCAGGCAGATCCAAGAAGTAAAGGGAATTTTACAGATAGAGGGTGTACCCACTTCAGCCCCAGCATGCGTTGGGCTAAAGTAAGAAATTTTAGGATTTATGGCACCTCTAGATGCCTAGAAATGGCACTCTCAGACTTAAATTTGAATAAAAATTTATTTCTTTGATTTCACAATTATTTTTTTTAATATTTTGATAAATTTAGGGGGCCCGGAGGGCAGGACGACTGGTCTCCCTCCCTTTGAAGCAGCCACTGATCCACAGAGCCACTTACGCCGAAGTGGGAAAATGAGACTTTTAATATATGAGACATACTTTGCGTGGCCTTAAGCATGACTTACCCAAAATCTCGAAAATATAGGATCGGCTCTTTTTGCAGAATATTTTTGATCTTTAAATAATATATTAAATAAACCTAAACCTCAATTTTAGCCCTGTAGTTACCATTGTATCAACCAACCAAAATACTTTAAACACTTTTAGCTGTATTATTGTTTGCATTTGCATGGTTATACTAATGGTTATACCCATTTGAAATTTATTAGGACTTATTGTTTATGTCTGGATTCTCCCATTTATATATACAATAGGTATTTAGATTTATAAGCTGAAGGTGACCAGAGGAGTGGTCGAACATAATCTTTGAAAATACATAAGTGTCGTTTTAACGCCTATTATATAATTTCAAGAACACACTTCATTTTATTATTAATATATTATTAAAGCGCATATTAACAATGATGATTCGATTTTTAATTCAATGCTTAATAAAAAAAAATTGTCATTGGTACACACGGGATAATAGCATCATTACAGATATAATTAGTTATTAATATTTACTAAAATGGATTATCTGAAGATAAACGCAGTGCGCAATGATATTCCTTGAGTAATCATTTCCAATTAGGCCCTATGTACTTAAAGAGTACGTATTAGGAATAGTTGGCGACAATCATAATAGGAATAGCGCTATTGTCATGCTCTTGCCATCAGTTTGTGATTAAACTATTACGTATTCATACACACGATTGCGGTGGACAGGTCTGCATTAATTTTGCACAACCGCACATGGTTTTTACCTTCACCACAGATAAGATTCTATTGACGTGGTATTTTTTTTAAACACTGGGCTAACGTAGAAACCAAGTTTGTCATTTAGTATGAAGGCAGTTATTCTTCTGAGCCTCACGTTGCTATACGTGATGTACTCACGAGCTTCTGGTAAGAAAAGAGCTATTTATTTACTTGTTTTTATAATCAACTTCATTCTAACAATGCGCCCCGCACTCTTTCACAAAAATGCGTGCCGGCCCCTGATTATTAGTGCACTAGTAGTTATATCTTTATCATCTAATAGATCTGTCCATTTGGTATACCTCATGGTCTCATTGCATTTAATAAGCCAATAATGGACTAAATTATCAGAACTGCTTAAGGTAATCGGGACTTACCAAAAGCAAACAATATGAAACTTAATGTTATTAGGCCTAAATATTATTCAAGGAAGAGTACATCTCATCTAGAGCGTGAAACAATTGCCAGTTAGTTTGAATGATCATGTTAAGTTAAATCATTTCCTATGGTCTTTTATGCAATATTTTAACATGTAAAAAAGTCATTGCAATACATAAAAGGGTGTCCAAGTGGACAGATAGGTTTCCTATAGATTAAGTAGTAGTAGAATACGATGTACAGGTCCGGAACTAGCTTGACAAACGTCGAGGATCAATTTAGAAACTAAGCGGAACTCACGTTGAGCATGGGTGTAGGGGTCACGGTAAAAATGCGTTTATAGATTTCAACGAGAAGAAACTAATAGTTGTTAGGAAAGGTTATTTCTGCCTCATAAATTTTCAATTGGGAAAATTGTAGGAAAATTTGACTGCATAAATCATGGCTCTCTACCGGGCTCTCTACACATGGAAATGAAACAGAAACTAGAAAATAGGGCCTAGGCATATTTCTTTAAAAACCGACACATTCACCGCTTTCCATCTTTATCAAATTTCGCTTATAATCTATATTATGGCTAGAAAACCTGGACTCAGAAATACAAAAAATATTGTTTCCAGGACTTTACTATGGATTAGGCTGCTTCAGTAAAAGATTAATAAATTGCTAAGTGTTAGTTCGTCGCCCAATATGAATTAAAGGGCCCCGATGGTAGGCCTACTTTCTCAGAACCTATTTACGTGTCTGCGGAAGGTGATCGAGGATAGTTCTAGGATGGTTAAGATTAGGAATTAATTATGTATTGTACCATAGCGGATACTTATTCTGTATGGTCACATGGAGGATATTTTATTCTGTATGGTCACATGTGTCCCGGTTAGCCAGGCAAAATGCAAGGCGTTAATAACCGGAAGCTCCGGGTTTACACTCGAAATGAATCACCTCGCCATCAGAACCCACATACAATTAAAGAAGCGACACAAACACATAATCTGGTACAACCCTCTATTTACCAAGAACATAGGCACGGTGATCGATAATATTTTTAAACATTATCCATAAGCGCTTTCCCATAGAAATTCCACTCAAATAATAATGAACACACTGTAAGAGTCAGCTACAGCCAGTTGTGTATGGATGGTATCGTATGGATAATATGGAAACAATTCACAAAATTGAAGATACTAAGTGCTAACAACAAGATCTGTAATTATAACCCTAGTCAAATATCTGAATTATTATAGCTCTCATTTACCGTCTAATTGCTAACGACGCGTTTTCTTTTGAGTGACAGAGATATTGCTAGGTTTTAATTATAGGTAATAATCCATTAATACCTATTAAATTATGTAGCCAAGGATTTCTGCGAATTATTTAGGCCATAATTCACCGTCTGATAATGTGGCAAATGACGCGCTTTCTGGTATCATATAATATCGAATGATATCACAAATGAATCATTTTTTTAGCTATTGATTACATTTTCAACAGATTGTAGGCCTACCCAGGGAAGCAGAAAAGATCTTAAGAAGCTATTTAGGCTTTTTTGTAATTCTAAAACACAATTTCTTTTGATAAGGAATTTTGATACATTAATACCTTTAATTAACCTAAGTGGAGTAGTTCAGCGAGTTATTAAACACTAATTTACCGTCTGATGTTTTCATTTGTTAAATAAATAAATAAATAAATAACTCAATTACATTCATGGTATGATGTCGAAACCTATTCACTCTCACCCCATTAAAATTTAATCAGCTAATTTTGATTACATTTTGAAAAAAATATAATTGTAAATTTACCAGGGACGATCTTAAGACGATATTTATGTGCGGTACTTCTAAAACATTCTTTTTGATAACGAATTTTAATATACTGTACATTAATACCCCTCCTAGCCAATTACTAAGCCCTAATTTAACGTCGGATTGTATTATAATTACAACATTTTCTTTTGTTAAAGAAATTAAAAGATCGATACCTTGATAATCTTCATAGTATTATATGATGTCGAAAGCATCACTAACATCCAATTCAACGAATCAATCTAATTAGCTAATATTGATTACATTTTGAAAAGTAATACTGATTGTAAATTACCCATCGAAGACCTTTAGAAACTTTTATGTGTTGTACTTCTAAAAACACATTTTTTTTTGTTAACGAATTTTATTATAATAATAATAATAATAATAATAATAATAATAATAATAATAATAATAATAATTAAATTATAGGCCTAATGATACTAATAATAATAATGTTAGATTTATATGGAGCTTCATGCCAACAAGTCCGCTAAGCGCTGCATACTGATGTACCTGTCCTTTTTTACCGACGTTATGTTGACAGTGTTTTTACCTATTTAATTTCGAACATGATGCTAAGCATATTTTTCCGATTTTTTAAATACACAACACACACCAATTAGATTTACCATGGGAAAGCAATACAAAAAATTACCCTTCCTTGACATTATTTTTGTAATAAACTCACTAATAACCTCAGTCTATCATAAAAATATATACAGTATACCAATTTGCAAACGAAATTTCATGGACTTACGTCAAACAATATAAAATTGGACTTTACGTACCATGACTGATGTAAAATTTAATAATACTTGGGTAGAATTTCATCACGATGTAAGAAAATTTACTCCCCTGTAATCCCGAGACACTCTAATTTGAGACTACTTTATTCAAAGTACCAACGACAATCTTCCACCTTTTAACCAAAATTTAACCCTTTAATTGTAGAGACACCCCAATTTGTTAGGTTCCAAATGTGGTCTAGATTTAGAGGGTTAAATAAATAATAAAATTATACATAATTATCTGTAAAAAAAAACTATCGCCCACTTATTTCGATCCTCCTAAAGCTCAAACTTCTTAATTCAAGTTACCCTTTATTATACACCATCCAACTATTTTCAACGAAAATCAACTTTAACAGCCATAAAGTATTGCGTTGATATTATGTCAAACATAACTTTTAAATTTTATAAGTAATGTAATTTTATTATTGTAAAAGAGTATGTACCACCAGCATCACCACTTGGTACGGTCTTGTGTAGGTCTTTCTGCTGGTCTGATGGAAACATCGGTCTTTGGGAATCTTGTCGACTCCACGTTTGCTGAAACAACCACCATTTTTTGTTAAGTGATTCAGAGTATGGCTGTCTCGACATAAATATTTCTATCCGTTCTTGCTAAATGACGGAACCAGAGTAGTCATCTATCCTTTTTTTGTATCTTTTGCACTATGTTGTTTCTCTTAACCTAATCTTTTTTTTCTTACTTTCAGTGTTGTGTAATTTATTCCCGAAGTGTTTTTCGAAGACGTTACATTTCAAAATTAGTTTATTTTTTTATATTCTTAACTTCTCTAACAATATTTAAATATTTTTTTTTGTCGGTCGTTCTCGGTAGTTAATGTGAACTCTCGTGCTACAATGCTGACAATGTCACAAGTTAGCGGCAATCGTCTTCTTTGGCGTCACCCTATCCAGCGATCCTTGGTGAGGTCATTAGCCGAATGTGTTCAGATCTGCTCATCTGACATCTCTAAGTGTAAGTCGATCGCGTATTATAAAGACATCGGATCTTGTGTACTTTACGGTGTTCTACCGGGCTACAAAATCAAAGAAATGGCATTTCCTTCATCTACAAAGCTGTATGATGTTGTTATTGTAAGTAACTTAACATTTTTTTAAATCCAATATTTTGGAGCATTGCTAATAAATTAACAAACTCAATCAATTGATAAATCGATGAATGAATTAATGAATGAATCAGTCAATCAATCAATCAATCAAACAATTAATAAAACATCAATCAATTTTAGTACAATTTATATTTTTTATATCTTGTATGTCTTATTGTACAGTATTTATTATGTAACTAGAACAAAAATGTTGTATGTATCTTGTTATACGTTACAACAATAAAGTACTCAGTCAACTAAATCATCAATCAATTAGTCAGTTGCTCAATTGATACATCAATCAATCAATCAAACAGACCAGCTAACCAACCAACCAATGAAGACAGTCAGGCAAGGTAGACAGAGAACACTTTATCACTAAGTTTGTAAAGTAATAATAAATATTCATATCCCGTATATAATTATTAGAAGTCTAAAAGACGCATTAAGAAGGAACAGAAGGTGCGCCGGAAATATTTATTTTTTAAAATAATTATTTAAACAATATTTAAAGAGGATCAGCTGATGTTTCGGGAACTCTAACATAATAAAGTGCATGACAATTCAATACAATAGGTCTATAATTCATATTAAATGTTCAGTTTTTTTAGTTAATTAGAGTTGATTAAAGGAATTCCTTAATTATTCATATTGAATTTGAAGTAACTTTCTTCGGGTTCTAATCAGCCTTTTTCCATAAATGGTTTTTTTTTTCAGTTACCACTTGTCAACAAATGACCATTGGGCGAGTGTATGTCCCCTCTGTCCGCAGGCACGCATCGTAGTGCTACGCCAACTAATAATATTACGTTATAAGAACGTTATAATAACGTTACAGTTTGGTGATAAAAACTTTATATTGTAGAGCCATTTGTACATACTTATATCCTAATTTCACGTTACAACGGTCGAACGTTCTTACAACATTTTGTGAACGTTATTTTGTGACATACGTACCTAACCACAGCGTTCGTGAACGTTATAAGAGCGTTTTGCGTTTGCTGGGCGTGTAACACAGCCTAGAATTCATCTCGGTACTGTACAAGTTGTCTTCACCTTTTGCACATGAACTGAAAAAAGATCAAGTCGTGCACTAATTTAGTATCTAAAAAGTGTCACTATTACATGCGTGTGGTACGAAATTAAATAGTAACAAAATGTTTAATCAAAACTACTGTTGTAGATTTTCAATTTTAGCCATTTTGGTTCACACGTAAGTACTCGGCTGATAATATTTGCGATTGGTTCCATTGTTATATTTTTAGTACATATATATGATATATATATAGGCCTATATAAATTATATATAAATTATATATGTATATATATACATATATATATATATATAAATTTTAAAAGGCAAATGGAAAAAACCCATAAAACAGCAAACGGCCACATAATGCAAAACTATTTAAAATTAAAACGGAACAGTAGAGAAAATCCGATCAGAATGACAAAATAAACTAAGCATCCACTGGTCCCACGACCACTAATGATTACAGAGCCAAACCAAGGCAATATATATACAAAGCCCAGGTGTGTATGCAAATAGTGGAATACAAGCTATGTGGCTCGGTTCCAGTAGATACAGAGAATATTTTGTCATTCTTAACGCGTCCTACGAAATTCTTACGAGACAGCACTAGTCCGTGAATT